TAACTGTATGAAATCTTACCCAGTGAGTATACATCTTTTTCATATATGTAAATAGAAATTTAAAAAATTTAAATTTTATATGTAACATATATATACTTATACATAATTTTTTTTTAATGTTTGTTTATTTTTGAGACAGAGAGAGACAGAGCATGAACAGGGGAGGGTCAGAGAGAGGGAGACACAGAATCTGAAACAGGCTTCAGGCTCTGAGCTGTCAGCACAGAGCCCCACGCGGGGCTCGAACTAACGGACTGTGAGATCATGACCCGAGCCGAAGTCGGACACTTAACCGACTGAGCCACCCAGGTGCCCCCTTATACATAATTTAAATATAATAATATATAATAGAATTTATATATATTTCTATATAGCTATCTCTAAATATACATGTTAATATATAAATAAGTATATATTACATAGAACATAAATTATATGCTACATTTAATATATAAATATAAGCATATTTTATATACTTTCATGTAAATTATTATGTACAAAAATTGTAATACCTAGAACAACGATTATAAAAGCTGTACAAAGAGGTACACTCAAAAACACTATAGATAAACGGATAGATGGATAAATGTTCAATGTCATTAGTCATTAGGAAACTGCAAATTAAAACCACAGTGAGAGACCACTGCACACTTATCAGAGTGGCTAAAATAAAAAATAGTGACAAGTGAAAGAAATCACTCTGAAAAGGCTACATGCTTTATGGTTTCAACTACATGACATTCTGGAAAAGGCAAAGCTATGGAGACAGTAGAAAGATTAATGGTTGCCAGGGGTTAAGTGGAGAGAGGGATGAATAAATAGGTAGAGCACAGAGGGATTTCTCAGGTGGTGAAACTACCCTGCAGGAGAATGGATACATGTCATCTATACATTTGTCCAAACTCACGGAATATATACCACCAACAGTGGTTCAACAGTGAACCCTAATGTAAAGTATGGACTTTGGTCCATACTTTGGTCAATGTAGGTTCACTGATCACAATAAACTTACCACCGTAGTGATGTTGATTGTGGAAGACGCTGTGGGCGTGGGGGAAAGAGTATATGGGAACTCTGTACTCTCTGCTCAGTTTTGCTGTGAATCTAGAAGTACTTTAAAAGAATAGGCTATGTAAAAAAAAAAAAAAAAAAAGATAGTGACAACACCAAAAACTCATGAAGATGCAGAGAAACTGGATTCCTCACATGCTGCTTGTGGGAATGGAAAATGGCACAGCCGCTCTGCAAATCAGTTTGGCCGTGTCTTAAAAAACTAAACATGCAGCTACCATATGACCCAGCAATTGCTATCCTGGGCATGTATGCCAGAGAAATGAAGACTTATGACTACATAAAACCCGTACAGGGCACCTGGGTGGCTCAGTCGGTTAAGTGTCTGACTCTTTTTTTGTTTTTTAATGTTTGTTTATTTTCAGAGAGAGAGAGAGCACAAGCTGGGGAGGGGCAGAGAGGGAGACAGGATTCTGCACTGACGGCAGCGAGCCCGATGAGGGGCTCGAACTCACGAACCATGAGATCCCAACTGAGCCACCCAGGCACCCCAAGCGTCCAACTCTTCATTTCAGCTCAAGTCACGATCTTACGGTTTGTGACATTGAGCCCCACGTGGGGCTCTGTGCTAACAGTGCAGAGCCTGCTTGGGATTCTCTCTCCCTCTCTCTCTGCACCCCACCGTCATAGACTCTGGGTCTAGAGTTCTTTCTCGTCTAGCAAGAAAGCAAGACACAGGATTAAATGCAAGAGATGGCTAATGTCCAGGAGAAGACAAGAGCCCCGAGTAAGGGTCCTTGTTACGTGTTTATTAGGATCAGAAGGCTTACAAACATGGTGATGGACGTGCACAAAGAGACAATAAATCTGTGAACATTAACTCACGGGCGTGAGGGAAAGGGGGTTTTGAAGATATACAGTGTTAGGGGTTTAGGTCAATATAAAACAAAATCCTGGCGCCAGGCAGACGGTTAACAGCAGACCTGAGGCGCTGTGTCTGTTTATCTTAGCTAGCCTAGGGGATAGGACAGATAAGGCTTGCTACCTCAGGGTCAACAAGGCAACTTTCTTCTGCTAATTAGCTCCGCTCTGGGCAACTTCTACCCACAGCGGTCTATAGCGCTGTTTACCTGCTTCCCTAATTTGATCCCTCCTTCCCGTGAAAGCAGCTTTCTGGTATAGTACTAAATTGGGGGCGATTTCTGGGGGCCTGGGTGGCTCAGTCGGTTAAGCATCAGGTCACGATCTTCGGCTCAGGTCACGATCTCATGGTTTCTGAGTTTGAGCCCCGCATGGAGCCCTGCATCGGGCTCCATGCTGTCCGTTTGGAGCATGGAGCTTGCTTCAGATTCTGTGTCTTCCTCTCTCCCTGCTCCTCCCCAGCTCACTCTCTGTCTCTCAAAATGTGAATAAATGTTACATTGGGGGGCGTTTCCGTCCTGAATACCTAATCTTGTTTACCCCATATACCTTTGTATTGGGGCCTTTGCCCTGCCGTCTCTATACCTGTTTACCTCATCTTGTTTATCCAAACTTGGATGTGAGTCTCCTATGGCTTTGTAATTCTTTGCGCCTTGTTAACCCATCAGCACAGGCTCAGGAATTCCTAAGCTTATTCCCACACACCCCCTCAAAATAAACAAATAGGCATTAAGACAACAACAACCCTGTGCATGAATGTTTACAGCAGCTTTATTTGTAATAGCCCCAAACTGGCAACAACCCAGAAGTCCTTCAACAAGTAAATGGTTACATTGTGCTGAGTCCACACCGTGAACACTACTTGGTGATAAAAAGGAACAAACTCTTGAACATACAACCTAGATGAAGGTACAGAGAATTATGCTGAGTTTAAAAAAAAAAAAAAAAAAAAGCAATGCCCAAAGGTTCTATACTGTATGGTTCTGTTAGTATAACATTTTTTTAAATGACAAATAGCAGAAACAGAGAACAGACCGATGGTTACCAGGGGTTAAGCAGCAGGTAGGGACAATCAGGAGATGGAGTGGCTATTTGAAGGCAACTTGAAGGATTCCTGTGGCAATGAAGATGTTCTGTATTTTGACTGTATCAATATCAATATCCTGGTAAGTATTGCAAGATGTTCCCATTGAGGGAAACTGCGAGATGGGTACAGGGATCTCTCCCTATTGTTTTTTTGTTTGTTTGTTTGTTTGTTTGTTTGTTTGTTTAACAACGGCATGTGAATCTACAATTATTTCAAAGTAAAATTTGAATTAAAACAATTGACTGAAGTCAGCCTGTCACTACAAGGAAGACAGTATTTATTGTCAGTGATAAGATTTAAGCTTTTGAGCAACAATCTGAATCTTGGAAAATTTGCTTTTGCCACCAAGTGTCAGCTTCCTGAGGATTAAAGACTTTTTTAATACGATCAGTAGTGATATTAACTAACGTTATGTTTTGATATCATACAATGAAATGTGCCAAAGGTTGTATGTACTGCATAACTTAGTGAACCAGTAAGGTATTTTCTAAATGATCAATACACAGTAGTACAAAGTCATGCATAGATGAACGATCCATTTAATATACACGACAGACTGGTGGATGACACTGAACCGAGTACAAAAGTTCATTCATGCCATTTCAGGTGCCAGTTACAACTAACCTTTAAGAAATTACCATTTGTCAAGTTTTAATAAAGTATTCACAAAGAATATGCACAATTCCCTGAAAAGATATTTAAATACACCTCCCTTTTCAACTACATATCTGTATGAGGTTAGACTTGGCTTTATATCCTTCAGTGAAAATAATATATCACAATAGACTGAATGCAGACACATAATGTGAAAATTTAGCTGTTTTCTATTAATCCAGACATTAGAGATTTGCAAAAAAGTATAAAACATTATCCCTTCTTTTGCTAAATTTTCTTGTTTTGAAAAATAGAGTTATTTTTCATAAAAAATTATATGCTAACATGTAAACATTAGGCTTATTGTTTCTTAATGATTAACAAATACCTAGTTTTAAGTTTTTCTGACTTGGATTTCTAATAGAGGAAGTACTAATGAATGTGATGCTCACAAACAGAAGCTCTTTGGGGCTCTCAATAACTTTTAAGAATGTAAAGGCTCCTGGGACGCCTGGATGGCTCAGTCAGTTAAGCATCCAACTCTTGATTTCAGCTCAGGTCATGATCTCGAGGTTCATGAGTTCGAGCCCCTCTTCGGGCTCTTCACTGACAGCACAGAGCCTGCTTGGATTATCTCTCCCCCTCTCTCTGCCCTTCCCTCCCCGTCAAAATAAATAAATAAACATCAAAAAGCAGAAGAGGGCTCCTGGGTGGCTCAGTCGGTTAATCATCCAACTCCTGATTTAGGCTCAGGTCATGATCTCATGGTTCGTGAATTTGAACCCCTAGTCAGGCTTTGTGCTGACAACTCAGAGCTTGGAGCCTGCTTTGGATTCTATGTCTCCTTCTCTCTCTGCCCCATCCCCACTCACACTCTGTCCCTCTCTCTCTCAAAAATAAATAATAAAACATTAAAAATTTTTTTTTCTAAAAAGGAGAAGAAGAATATAGAAACTCTTGAGATCCAGAACTTGGAGAACCCACTGTTCTAGGAGTCAAAAGTTTTCTTGTTGATCACAGTTGCATGTTCAAACAAATTCTAAACCCAGCTCACATACTGAAGGGCCAATGTAAGAAAACAAGAGAGTGGCGAGCTTTGGCAAGAGGGAAAGGGAGCTGCCCTACCACTCCTCCCTATCCTGGGACAGGACGACACAGAAATGTTGAGGTTGCACGTGGAAGATCATTCCCATTGGGTGTTTCCAGTGGGTTCCTAGGCAATCACTCATGAGGCCACTACACTTCCCCCCCCTCCCCCCGGTAATGATCAGGAACTTGGAAAGCTATCTCTGTTTGTTGTGCTCCTTTTTGTGGATATTATTATACTTCCAGAGGAGCCTGAGTTAATTCCCTTCTTTGAAAAACAAAAACACAAACATGTCACCAGTTAGACTTTTAACAAAATAGTGATTTATAGTATGTCCAGCTATTTACAGAGAAGACCCATTTACAGAAGAACAAGGCAGTTGTAATATATTCTAGGTGAAATCCATGATGAAGAATCCTTTGTAATTTCATTTGCTGGCCATATTGTTGAGTTAATCTTCAAAATGCATGCTGCTAAAAAGGGAAAGAGCAATTGATGATTTAATTTTTAAATTTAAAGACTGCCATTTAAATGAATCACAAGTCTAATTTTTAAATGAAGTGCCATCAACTGGCTCCTGGCATCCGCCCAGCTGGTGGACTGCCCCAGCCTAGTCTCCAGGCAGACGCACTGGCCTGGCCTGCTCATATAATTCAGATACTAAAACATTAAGAGGAGCACACAGTGCAGCCTCAGAAAGAAGGGCATTCTGTCTGGAGACCTAAACTAGATCTGGAGGCTCTGTTATCAGTGAATTCACTGTAGAAATGCCTAGACTGAGGAAAATATAAGTTGATTTCTTGCTCTTGGGAATACGGTGGTCAGGGGTGTGTGTGTGTGTGTGTGTGTGTGTGTGTGTGTGTGTGTTTACTTAATGGCCCTACCATGACCCAATTACTCTGATAATTTTCCCCCTTTTTTTTTAATTTTTTTTTTAACGTTTATTTATTTTTGAGACAGAGAGAGACAGAGTATGAACGGGGGAGGGTCAGAGAGAGAGAGGGAGACACAGAATCTGAAACAGGCTCCAGGCTCTGAGCTGTCAGTACAGAGCCCGACACGGGGCCTGAACTCAGGAACCGCGAGATCATGACCTGAGCCGAAGTCGGACGCTTAACCGACTGAGCCACCCAGGCGCCACAAATTTTCCCCTTTCTTGATTTAACTTCCTTCTTTCTTTCTCTTCTCTTTACCATTTTCTTTAATTCCTTCCAATTTTTGCTTCATAAATCCGCCCTTATAACAGCACTTATATTTTCCAGTTTCCAAAAGAATAACATGGTGGTCCCATCCACCAGCTACTGTGTCCTCTCTTTTCTAACCACGACTCTAGTTTTCATGTGCATCCCTACTGGCCCAGTGTACCATGCCTGCAGGTGCAGCTTCCACCAGGTTGGCCTACTAGGTCATTGGCCAATCTGTCCCTTCTATTTTGAGTCATAAAGTAAGCTGGAAATACATGTCTGAAAAGCAAACACAGCAAAACACCTGTATACATTTTAAGTACTTTTCTAATAAGCTTGTGAAATAATCGGGCTATTGCTTTACTATTAGCTTTAAACACTTCCTGACATTGAGGAAATGTGACAGCCATGTATAGAATAAAACTGTATGCTTTCCGTTCCTTATCATTGTCTATCTTTTACCTAACTTTGCAAATTTAGTGTCTCAATACCAGTTTTTCCACTTCAAAAAGTCATAGTCTTAAAACGGTATGTCTTCAATAACCATTTTTCTGGTTATGGGGCAACCCCCATCCAATGGTTGTTGATGAGGGAGAGTACAACAGCCTGGCCCCCTTGCCTAAATTCAGGACACTACCCCAGCTCCAGAGCCCCTCATAGCAGGGCCGAGGCCTCAAGTGCAAGGTCACCACAGTGCAATCTCACCCTCTGCCCTGTCCAGCTTCTCTCACTCTGTTACTCCTTTACTCTGTGTTGCTGGGAGCACTGTCTCCCGGGGAATCCAATCTGAGACCTACAAGAGGCTATTGACATTTTAGAGACCTTCTGAGGCAAGACTTTAAACCCTCTACTTGAAAATCTAGACTCACTTCGGTGGCTCAGTAGGTTAAGCATCTGACTTCGGCTCAGGTCATGATCTCATGGTTCATGGGTTCAAGCCCCACATTGGGCTCTGTGCTGACAGCTCAGAGCCTGGAGCCTGCTTCAGATTCTGTGTCTCCCTTTCTCTCTCTGCCACTCACCTGCTCATGCTCTCTCTATCTCAAAAATGAATAAACATTAAAAAAAATTTTAAAAACATCTGGCCTCAAGGTTAGTTACTGCACATGAAGCCAGAATGAATTGGAACTTTTTTTTTAATGGAAAAGCATCAAACATGCCAGCACTACCTTCCAGCAAACCTGAGCTCAATCACCCCTGAAACACCTTTAGAACAAAAACACTTATCACCTGTCACCTCTAACAGGAAGGTTGGAACTTATGGCAAAATCAGTTTTGCCTCTCAGAAGGGTCACAGACCCTCATCCCAGAAAAAATGTACAACCAGACACAATTTTAGATACAAGTCCAGGAGGATATAAACTCCTCCCCCAAAGCCTTCATGGACTCCAAGAACCATTGACTTATAGCGAAGGTAATAAGAATGTATAGTTTCAAAGCTGTTATCCAACATAGGGAATAAAGAGATTTTTTTTTTTTTAAGTATGTAAGAAAGTCCTAATTCTTCTGCATATGATTTCATCAGTAGGTTTTGAACAACCAAATGCCAGGCTCAACTTACATTTTCCAGAGTCATGTCTGTTGTATTTGAAGTTGTCCTCCTACGATATCTCTTCCTGGTACAATAGACACTGACGAGGGTGACTATCAGCATCAGGACAAACACAGCAACAGTAGAAGATGCAGCGATGACAATGGTATCCTGGGTGGAGCCTCTCCTCTCACACCTTTCGCCCAGGAACCACCAGTCTTCCCCTGACAGACACCTGCACGTCGGAACATGACCCAGAGTTATGAGTTGATATTTCAGTCTGAAAATCTTCGCCATTAAGGGTGCGGCTCAACATTTGGGTCATTGGCATATGGAACTCAACTGGAGGGGAATGGATAGACTAGCTCCAGAGGGCCAGGCAAGGCCAGTGGTAAAGACATGGAATCACTGCTCATCTGGTACTCAAAATAGTGGCTCTGAGGTAGGAAAGGAAGGTGGTGTAGGTAACGGAGAAAATTTGGTTCTCAGTGTTTCAGTCCCTTAACCTCCCCCCCGTACCTCTTGGCCAAACTCATCCCAGAACTTCTGAGAACAATCTCCATCTAAAAAATAGTGACAGTCACACTTTACCACACAAGACTGTTGTGAGGACTTAATAAGGTCTATAACACATGAGGACTTTTTCAGGCAATTACAATACAATGTACTATTTCTTCATAAATAATTTTATTCTTCTTGTGGCTATCCAAAGTCCCAAATGGAGACCAAAAAATAAATATCCCATGAATGGCTTTGAGATGAGAATCAACTGATTTCACTCACAGAAAATATCAGTATCTAATCCTATATTGTGTAAATGATAACATTTCTAACAGGAGAATGGGGAGATCTTGTCCTAGTTACCCCTTACCTGCACTCGGCCTTGCCATTTCGGACAACGCAGATGCCGTCGTTCTCACATGTGAAGTTTGTGCAGAGGTCATTGATGTTAGCGGTTGGGATTGGTGGAATTTGTGTAGAATTAAGGTGGGATATGTCTAAGGAGGGCAGAGGGAGAGCATGGATGGACATCAGTTTGACTTTAACAAGCATTTGATCCTTAAGTTTCAAAATAGATGCTTAGGTTTCCCAGCCAGTAAAATAATTAATAGGTAGAAATCTAGATACAGACAGGACCTGGACCAGCCTTTGGGGTCATCAACTGAACCACATGCTTACCTGAGCTTGGGCTTGCTTGAGCTAGAAAGGGTCTAAGCCCTTATAATCCACCCTCAAGGGACAGACATGAAGATAAAGCACAGAAATGCAAGGTGACTGATGGGCTTGCCCAAGGTCACAGGATTCTTGCTCAGGGAGAGCAAGTTGGTGGATATCTGACACAAGCTACCAGGCCCCCCTAACAACCAGGGCTCTGATGCTTGTAGTGTTTTCTATTGCTTCTCATCCAAACAGTGTTGAACCTAGGTGATGAATATGTGACTTTTTCTCTGCTACATAAAAGTAGCAGTTGTTTGTCCCTCAACAAAGTTATTCTTTTTTTTTTAATTTTTAATGACTTTATTTATTTATTTTTTAACATTTATTCATTTTTTTGAGAGATAGAGTGCTAGTGGGGGAGGGGCAGAGGGAGACACAGAATCCAAAGCAGGTTCCAGGCTCCGAGCTGTTAGCACAGAGCCTGACGTGGGAATCGAACTCATGAACCGTGAGATCATGACCTGACCTGAAGTCGGATGCCCAACCGACTGAGCCACCCAGGCACCCCAAAGATTTTATTTTTTAATGTTAATTTATTTTTGAGAGAGTGTAAGTGGCAGAGGGACAGAAAGAGAGGAGGACAGAGGATCTGAAGTGGGCTCTGTGCCCACAGCAGTAAGCCTGATACAGGGCTCGAACTCACAAACCGTGAGATCATGACCTGAGCCAAAGTTGGAAGCTCAACCAACTCAGCCACCCAGAGGTGCCCCTAAAAGATTTTATTTTTAAGTAACCTCTATATCCAACATGGGGCTTGAACTTACAACTCCAAGATCGAGCGTTGTATGCTTTACCAACTGAGCCAGCTAGACACCCTGCAGGAAAGTTATTCTTGAATAATTTTTTCCGAGAAGTATCATCTAGATTTACTCTAATTGACACTGACATAAAAATTTCATGGGTTTTGGGGCAGCTGAGTGGCTCAGTCAGTTAAGCATCCAACTCTTCTTTTTTTTTTTTTTTTAATGTTTGATTATTTATTTATTTATTTATTTATTTAGAGAGTACTCATGTGGGCAGGGGTGGGGCAGAGAGAGGGAGAGAGAGAGAAAACCAAGAGTCTCCACATTCTCACAACTGTGAGATCATGACCTGAGCCAAAATCAAGAGTAAGACGCTCAACTGACAGAACCACCCAGGTGCCTCTACTATCCAACTCTTGGTACCAGCTCAGCTCATGAATCTCGCAGTCGTGAGATAAAGCCCTGCATTGGGCTCCATGCTGAGTGTGGAGCCAGCTTGGAATTCTCTCTTTCCCTCTCTCTGTGCCCCTCTCCCTGCTTATGCTCGCGCGCTGTCTCTCTTAAATAAACTAAAAAAAGATTTCATGGATTTTAATTGCACCACCTTTCATCGCAAACAAGATTCTGATTTACAGAGCTGTAAGAAGGTCTTTAATAGTAAATGACTTAAAATTGTGCTACATGAAACACGGAAACCACCAGTATTCCTGAAAAATGTATTTACTAGCTGCCGCGGGTAAGAAATTTAAAAGACAATAGATTAATGCTATTACTGACAAAATATATATGTGTATGCTTATATATGATACATAAAATATACATTTGTGTGCTCATATATATGTATATATGTATGAATATATATTTGAAAGACACAATAGAGACAGTTCATTTCCAGTTTCATTTCAGGTGCTTGTGTGATATTTCTATTTCTGGAATCTTAGAGTATAATTTAGGGTATAGTAGCTATACTTTAACTTGTTTCTAGAGAAAATTTCTGTCCTAATTTTCCATTGCTCCATGTAGTGGTAATTAAATTCTTTATCCTGGAATGGTCACTGTTTTTATTTAAATTACTTTCCTATTGTTAATAATTTATGCCAGAAAGAAAAACTCCCACTCATGCCCATTTACTCCTATACCTAAAAATGGAACCCAGAAGAACGCGGTCAATAATCAATGGCCACGACAACAACAACAAAAATAACTTGTATAAAACTATTTTTGCTGACATACCTTCCACGGTCAGTAGGATATAAACATCATCTCCTTTTATAAAATCTCTGCTTTTCAGCCTCTTGTAGGTTATAAAGGCAGCAGTTCCAAAGCCCATACCTCTTCTAAACTCCGTTCCATTAGGGAAAAAAGCCACTAATCCCACTTTGGATGGCCTGTCCCAAAAATAGTTTCCATTATCTGAAAAAGCAATTTATATTAATGGATTGTGTTTAGCATCATCATAGCTTTTTGTGGTAGGAAAGAACGGGCAATGTGAAACGCAATTAGGATAGAGCTCAAAATAATTAAATGATGCTATTGACCTGTGATGTATTCTCTGGCAAGTCACTGAAGCTTGTTCATTTATACTGTCCTAAAGAAAATGAGATTGCCTAGTAAGGAGGAGCACATTCTGGAATCTGAGTGGAGAGATACCAAAAGTTTCCTAGATGCGGTATCACACCTATACTTCCTGACCGGCATAGAAACTCCCTCCCCATTAAAATCATTTCTCAGTGGCCTCGAGTCATAGGTGGTCCTTTTAACTAAGTTGAATCAATACGTTTCTGAGAGAGGTTTTTTTTTATTGTATTTTTTAAGTAATCTTTACAATGTGGGGTTCAAACTCATGACCACGAGATTAAGAGTCACATGCTCTACCGACTGAGCCAGCAAGGTGTCCCGAGAGAGTTTTGAATATTAACATAGAACAATTCATCTCATTAACTGAATTATTCACCTAACAGCAAAGTCCTTCTAGAAGACAGTGAGAAGCACTGCTTCTGGGGAAAGGTGATGACCCACCCAACTTTGAGCCATTTTCAATGTCATTCAGGCAAAAATGCTTTGGGAAAAAAAAAAGTGAAGAAATCTGAGCATCAAGTTCCTACAATCCTCTTTGTGAATATTTTTTTTTCCTAACAAATTAATGGTTTTTCTTTTTCCTAAGTCACATAGGTCCATTTTTTTTTCATATATAGAATTCAGAATTGGCAATAATAGTCACCTTGCCATAACTTCATTTTTTATTAGGCTCCCAGAAGGCAAAGGATTATTAAAATTAGAAATGTTGGGGCACCTGGGTGGCGCAGTCGGTTAAGCGTCCGACTTCAGCCAGGTCACGATCTCGTGGTCCGTGAGTTCCAGCCCCGCGTCGGGCTCTGGGCTGATGGCTCAGAGCCTGGAGCCTGTTTCCGATTCTGTGTCTCCCTCTCTCTCTGCCCCTCCCCTGTTCATGCTCTGTCTCTCTCTGTCCCAAAAAATAAATAAATGTTGAAAAAAAAATTAAAAAAAAAATTAGAAATGTGATCATTGCCTTCTGGGAGCTGTTCCTTTTTGAGACTGAAAAGATGGGGAATGATGTCACCATTGGCGAGCTCTCCAGAATTCTTTAGTAAGAAATTATGATCTATTCTCACAGCCTTCCCAACACTCCAGGAGCTCAACATCTTTCCTCTCATCAGAAACCATCCCCTTCTACAAGAGCTGAATTTTGTCTGATAGTCCCAGTGGCGAGGGGTGGTTACTATTACTGCCCCAGTTTTACTGCTGAGGAAACTGAGGCTCCAAAAGACTATTTAATCAACATCACGTAGCTAATGAGAAGCAAACCTTGGATTTTAACCGAGGCATGCCAGACTGCAAAACCAACACTCCTTGGACAACTGGAATTCAGGTATGATCAATTGCCAGGAATAGTCAGTGTCTTCTCTATTTTTCAGAGACAGTGCCTCTTGACATTCTTCACAGTGGCCTGCCTGGGGTACTCTGTCCACACCTGCTGAAGCCCTTCCCTTCAGTGTCTTGTGTTCCTAAAATCTGGGGCTCAGAAATCCCTAAGTACCCTACTGTGCAGTCTCTCATTCCCAAATTGTCCATCCCTCCTAGACAAATGACCGTGTATTAGCAGTAAAGGAAATAAGTCACGAACCGGTGGTCATAAATGGGTCTGTAGTTATACTCCGCTGGTTGGACATACGCTGTCGAATGTCAGGATTTTGATCCAAGAGTGTCATCGTGGCTTGTTGCCAAGGACATGGCCATTGTAATTGATCATCATTGGCTCCAGAGATCAAGTGGAAATATATTCCTGCGTTAGTCGAATGATTCAGATTCAACTGAATCTGGAAGGCATAACCTTTAGAAGAATAAAATGGAGGGCTATATATAGTTTCATTCGAGCTGCCAATAATCTGTGTGAAATTCTTTATATGCCAGATATGATGAGGGCACTGTGTTTCTGAAAGATTGATGTCATCAAGAGACAGGCCACCCAATGATGCACCAGTGCCTCTGACCCCTCCAAACACCACTCTAAATTTGTTGGTCACTTTCAATGTCACATGGTAAAGTTGCCAGCTTCCAATGGGTATATCTGCAAAAGAGACATTATTATTTCAAAGAAGACAAAGGACTACGAATCATGTGCAAATCAACATTAGAGTTTTAACCTTCGCAGGACAGATTATCCTAGAGCTATTGGTTCCTACAGGTCTGCAGTGTGTTTTTCTCACTTCTCCAGCCCAAGCCCATTCACTTCAAGGCATTTCTGTGGGGTCAAACTGCTCCCTGGAATATCTGGATGTTTATCTGCTTGTTTCTCAGGTAGTCACCTGTGTCCAGCGAAGGGTAAGCAAACACCAACATCTAACTTATGAGTATTCCATGCCCTAAAGAGGAGTTGTCTCCCATTATATGTTAGTTAAAACTGATATCTACACTGTGCCCAGGATTCCTGGGATACTGAACCAAAGCCTTATTTAACGTATTTATAGTTTGAAATACTTCCTTCACATGCCAGTGTTTTGGCACTTTCAGCCAGTGTTTTGGCAGTATTACACAGAAATCCACCCAACCCTAGAAAGCCCACACCCACAATTGAGTCCTTAGATCATTTACCAGTGACTCAACATTATAAATATTTATCTAGTATTTGATAGCATCAGCCTTCTCCCTGGTGCATACTTCCCCCTTCGCTATCATCCCCTACCCTTAGCTAGCAGCACAGGCTATGTTATCTTGTCTTATTTTCTTACATCACATGCCCAAATAAGGAGCGATACACTTAAAAAATTTCAGAAGCCCCCAAGTAAAGAAAACAGCTCAGGAATTCATGTCGAACTGGTAGTTCACACGATGACTTCAAACTTAAACGTACTGGCACTTAATGTGAAGCACAATTATGTGAAAATAAGACGAAAATATCCAAATTACAGAAAATGCTATTGTCCGTGGATAGACTCTGGATTGAACAAAAATCTTTCACGAGAGATTCCACTTCATTACTATCGGTACTGTTCATTTAAATTCTGTTAAATTCTTTCTCATAAGCAAGTTTCTTAAGTACCCTTTGTGCTATTGATCGCTAGTGATAACACCCACCCACAGATTGTTAATGGAAAGGATTAAATATATACTATGTATAATGTGTATATATACATATATGTGATATTATATATGGAATTGTAGAGTATATATAATTATGTTATATATGTACAGCCTGTGGTATACACATATATGTATATGTTTATATAAAATGATATTAAGACCCTATTGTAGGTGTTCACAAAAGAAAGTATCATCTGTGTTGCAGACTGTTTCCCATTGTTAAATGGGAGGAAAATGGTATGACACATAGCATAATGTAGATGGATTTTATAATAGGTTTTACTCAATTCACTCAAACCAAGTGGTCAATATGTGGAGAGACAGCGATAGAGTTGGCAGCCCACGGCCCCTCCCTTTCTGAAATTTCTTAACCATTGCTTTTAAAGTTGGTCAACATGACCCATCTCTCTGCCACATGATTGGAATGAGTGTTGCTTTCTCTTCGCTCAGGAATTACTCTAGAAGTTGCACTTAACCCAAATCATAACAATTAGAATTCTTCACTGGGTTTTTTTTGTTTTTTTTTTTCAAGCTAGAAATTAGAGGAAGTGTCCCTTTTCCAGGCTAATGGCACATTTGATTAACTGTAAGCTGGGAAGTAAAATACCCAAAGCACCAGTTTTGTGGACCGGGCCCATCTGACATAACATGAGAGGTCTCCAACCATGTTCAGGGACAGGTCCAGTCCTGCCTGAGGCCAGTTCCTTCCTCGTCCATCCCACAATTCCTTTACATTCAGAAATTCTTCCCATTTTGCCTAGTTTTCATTATATTTGTATCACTAGCCAAGAACGGACCTCCTCAGTGCTAGAGACTTAAAGAATTAAGATGGCCTTATCTGGACTCAGACAATAAGAATGTCAATATTGTACCTTTTATTTCTTCCACAAGCATTAGAGTACCATTCACGTTGTCTGCGGAATACTCCCTGATGTAGATGTTCAGTTGGTCGTTTTCACTTCCACTGTTATATAAATAAAACTGCAAGCACTGAAATCCTCTTTTAGGGTAGAATGTTCTACTTTCCAGTACTGCTGTGGCCCCCACACTGACAGAGCTACTGTTGAAATGCATGAAGAAACCAGAACCTGTTATGAAAACAAAAGCAGAATTGAGAGAAAACAGATACTACATATAGGAATGCACGTCTTGTGGGCACAGTAGTTCCCCTCAGTACCCGCTGTGTGTAAAACACTATATTGGGCATTTAAATGCAGCTCCAGGAGCAGGCAGTTTCTAAAAGAGACATTAGGCCACATTTTTCCATACTATAGCTTTCAAAATCAGAAAAAAGCGTCACCTACTTGGTCTAGTCTCTCTCTCTCTCTCTCTCCTTCTCCCTCCCTCCTTTCTTTCCTCCTTCCTCTGGCCTATGGAGGACCACTACCCACTATCCAAGTCTGCATTTTATTTTATTTTATTTTATTTTATTTTTTAACATTTTTATTTATTTTTTGAGAGACAGAGACAGAGCTCAAGCGGGCGAGGGGCAGAGAGCGAGAAGGAGACACAGTATCTGAAGCAGGCTCCAGACTCTGAGCAAGCGGTCAGCACAGAGCCTGATGTGGGGCTCGAACCCACAAACTGTGAGATCATGACCCAAGCTGAAGTCAGACGCTTAGCCGATTGAACCACCCAGGTGCCCCTGCATTTTATTTTATTTTTAATGTTTATTTATTTTGAGAGAGAGAAAGAGTGTGAGCATGAGTGTGGGAGGGGCAGAGAGAGAGGGAGAGAGAATCCCAAGCAGGCTCATGCTGTCAGAATAGAGCCCAATGCAGGGCTTGATCCCACAAATGGTGAGATCACAACCTGAGCTGAAATCAAGAGTCAGACACTTAACCTACTGAGCCACCCAAGTGCCCCCTAATCTGCATTTTAAAAGAAAATTGTATTTTTATTGATATATATTTGACATATAGCATGGTGTAAATTTAAGGTGTACAAGATGTTAATTTGACACATTTATATATTACAATATGACTGCTACTGTAGCAATAATTAACAACCCCTAACATGTTACATAATTATTATCCCTTTTTTGTTGTAAGAATAATTAAGTTCTAGTTGTTAATAAGTTTGATGATTAGCATATAATATTCCTGTCTATAGTCACTACACTGTGCATTAGATTTCCAGGGCTTATTATTACTGATTGCAAGTTTGTACCCTTAACATCTGTCTTCTCCGCTGTCCCCCCCACCCCACCCCACCATCCTCCACGAAAGAAAAAGAAAAAGAAAAACACTTTTTGCTGTTAGGGACCTCAACCACTGCCTAGACTGGCTGAGCTCTCATGCAATGACCCTAAGTTTTGAAGTCTAGTTTTACATCTTTATTGCCAGAAGTGAGCAAATAAATAAAAATTGAGTACTTGTAGCCAAATAAATGACTATTTAATTTAAAACAAAATTATTATGGAAAAGGATACTCATCTGAAAAAAATTAAATCAATTGTACTTTGACTCTTCATTGTAAGGATTCTTGTAACAGGAGCATGTAATCACAACCAGCTGGAATTCTGAAAGTGATTAATTCACAACATTGTGCCGTTGACTGCAAAGTGTCTTGTATCTGGCAAGCTTTGAGAAAACCACCCCACTGCCCTGTAGATAAGAGTCTTTCCGGGAGATACTGTCCCCTCCTGCTGTGGGCACGTATAGGTAGAGAGGCTTCACAGAGCCCAATTCTGACTCACAGAAAGACAAGTCAGAGAGTAAAAGCAAAGAAATGAACCATGTCCTTACAAGGCACAGAACTGTTTCCTTAGTAGCAACTGAATGGGTTATCATTAATAGTTCAGATAGAAATTAGAGACAAAATCCCAGTCTTTCATGGCCAAGGAAAAGACTGGAGCCACCAAGTGTAAAATCTAGAAGTATCTCACTCCTGTTACCTTTGCACTGGCCCATGTTGGAGTGATCGCTCTCTGGGCCCCTGGGGACCTGGGAAGTCCGTTGCCAGTCAGCACTATCACCTGAACTTTGAATCATACCGCACACGTTTTCCAGTTCAAAGTTGCACGAGTCCAGAAAGCTCAAGGAAGAGGCTACAAAAGCAAAAACAAACAAACAAACAAACAAACCACACACACACACACACACACACACACACACACACACACACAGTTATCGACACTCCTACAACATGATAATCCAGGTAATAAAAACTGTCATGGAAGTACTGGGAATACCAGGATGGCGTTAAAGGGAACACCTCGCTGATTCTGGAACGTGAGTCTACACTCTTCTCGTTACCCAGATTATTAAACAGCAACCCAGATTATAAAATCCCATTGATATGATGGCTCCTTCTTTAAAAATCAACATGGGTGCTCGCTTCGGCAGCACATATACTAAAAATCAACATGGGGCATGTTACTATAGGACCCAATTTGTTTGTAGAGCTAAAGGGCAGAACTTCTAAGAAGAAAAATATTGCTTCCCAGGTATGGATTGGGATTTGGGTATTTATACGTTTGTTATTTTTTTTTAATATCAAACTTAACTATAAAAACTATAATTATCGGGGCGCCTGGGTGGCGCAGTCGGTTAAGCGTCCGACTTCAGCCAGGTCACGATCTCGCGGTCAGTGAGTTCGAGCCCCGCGTCAGGCTCTGGGCTGATGGCTCAGAGCCTGGAGCCTGTTTCCAATTCTGTGTCTCCCTCTCTCTCTGCCCCTTCCCTGTTCATGCTCTGTCTCTCTCTGTCCCAAAAATAAATAAATGTTGAAAAAAAATTTAAAAAAAAACTATAATTATCAATTATCTAACCATAATTGCAGAAAAGCCAGCAATGCTCGGCAAAATGGCACGGCACGTCATTTTCCCCTCCATGGCAGAGAGACACAGAAAACATTTCAAAGAACCTGCCACATACAGCAATTATACAGTCGATTCAACTTTAAGAGATCATAGTTGCTGAAATCCATTCGCTGGCCGATCACATCCATGAAGTCTGAGATTCGTGTTACAATTGTTGGTTCTGTTCCATTTTGGAAAGCCGTCTTACTGTAGTGCATTACTGACGTGTAATCATAGGGAACATTCAAGGAGTCTGATTCTTGGTCATCGTAGGTGTTAAAATTGTGCTCTCTGCCTAAATGTTAAATTTAAAAAGATCTTTAATTACTCGATGTTCACAAAATTTAGCTTATCTTACTCTAGGCTTCCATCACTGCCCAAGATTGGACATTAGCATTTAGTGTAAGGCTCTAAGAGCTTCTATTAGAAAGGTAGATTCTAAAAGGTGTTATCGACACAGTCAAGGTCATTGGCAGGTGCTCGTGGGAGGGTGGGGGCACCCAAAGCAGATGGAGGTGGAGGTAAGAGGACGTTGGGAAGTGTGGTGGGAAGGGACCTCGGAATGATAATACAGGCAGGAGTCCTTAGAAAGAACTGACGTACTCAGGGATTTCATGGTTACTGGAACACGTGTGCAAGTTTTTAAAACGAATACATTCAGAGAAGATACCTGGTTGTTTAGCATCACACTGATGAGCGTCTGGTTGCAACTTGAAATGGGATGATTTAGGGGAAACAGTGAGGTGGAACTGATCTCCAAAGCTTATAGATGTGTTATCAAATCTGGACAGAAGTTTCTGTCAAAGTAAGACCCAGGGAATCTTAAAGAGTGAGATGATGGATTGAAGCTAAGCACTTGTCTTGCTCCAGAAATATTGTAGTCCGCTGCTGTGCCTTACCCCAGTTGAGATCACCAGACAGCAATATCACTGAGCTGTGATGTTCAGGGGTCTCAGTACCGAGCAGCCCCCACAATGCCTCATAGGACAGCAATACCACTCCCTCCACCGTACCCTCTGCAGGCAGGACAGATGGGGACACTAAGCGTCCTTGTGGAAAACACGAGCTTCAGTTGTACAATGTTATTAAGACACTTCTGACTTGGAATAGAAAGTCCCAAAAAGTTCCGGCTCATCAATTGCTGCAGTGTTTCCCAGTATGGGCTCCATAGAACAACAAACACAAATACTCAAAAAAAAAAAAAAAAAGGCGATGATCAAGTCAGTTCGGGAAATGCTTCTTATTTGGAGATTTACAATATGTGTTACTCTAATGGAGACTCTGAACAGTAAAGCGGTATCAGTAACTCAAGTTTAATGTATTTTAACCTAGGACTTCCCAAACTAATTGGACTGCGGATCTCTTTCCGCACACATCTGGGAGCATTTTGTGGGACAGCACTCCCTAAAATGTGTTTGGGGAAACACCAGCTTCTTAGATCCCGTCCAGCTCCAATGCACCAGGGGTCTGGGGTATCAGTGCCCCAACAACCTTCAGGCACGTGAACTCATGCACGTGAAGTAAAGCATCACTTCAGTTTTCCCATTATTAACGGTCGGCAGGAGACAGCACATGCTTAGAAATTCAGTTTGTGGCCCAAAATGTAAGAAAACAAAAGAAACGTACCTGACAGAATCCTGTCCCACATTATCATGACGTAGTCATCCCGATCGGAACGAGACTGCTCATGCCAGAACCCCAGGGCGTGGAGGAACTCATGTTGAACTGTCGCTATTCTGTCACAGTTCTCCCCGATGGAGAGTTCTTGCTTCCCAACATGCATGTTGCCCACTGAAGACCAGCAGCTTACAGGAGAGTTCACGGGACAAGGGGAGAGGGTGTTCTCACCATGCAGGCTGAGGCCTCGGGGCACAATCCCCAGTGCCCCGTCCTCTCCTTTAACCCACCTACATCCTTCACTCTTTTATCAGGACACTGCCTCCCTCTCATAACCTCACAGATCACATGACTTTTGGAGAACTGGTCCTGCCACCAAATATTACACGGGAGCAAGGCATCCCCCGATCAACCGAGTCCTGATTTTTTTCTAGAAATGTCCAAGTTTTTCACATGGTCCTTGGTATGTTGATGACCACTCATAAAGTTTTGTAGGTGTAGCAACCACATCCAATTGCCAAGCCCCAGGCAAATAATACTCAGTGTAACTCAAGCAGTAAGTGTAGTTAGGTTAAAATAAATTGAAATACGGGAAATCTACCCCCAAAACCAAGAGCACACTATATACAATGCATGTTAGCTAACTTGACAATAAATTATATTAAAAAAAAAAAAAAAAAAAGAGGGGCGCCTGGGTGGCGCAGTCGGTTAAGCGTCCGACTTCAGCCAGGTCACGATCTCGCGGTCCGTGAGTTCGAGCCCCGCGTCAGGCTCTGGGCTGATGGCTCAGAGCCTGGAGCCTGTTTCCGATTCTGTGTCTCCTTCTCTCTCTGCCCCTCCCCCGTTCATGCTCTGTCTCTCTCTGTCCCAAAAATAAATAAAAAAAAGAAAAAGAGAGCATGGACTCAGGACTTAGCCATTCCTCTGGCTGAGTCCATTTCTTCATCTGTAAAATGGGAGAGAAAACCAGAACCTATGTTGCAGGTTAGCTCTGAAGACTAAATTAGTTAATACTTATAAAACTCTTAAAATAATGCCTGGCACAATTTAGTGCTACATGTTTTGAATTACACAATCAAATAAAAAATATCCAAAGCCTTTTAAAAAAGAGAAAGAGAAAGAAAAAGAAAATAAATTGAAATACACGTGTGTACACGCGTTTTACTGAAAGAGGGAAATAAAAACTATGTAAACTACAAATGGTTGAAGTTCCTTAAGTTATGGGCTGGATGGCATGCAATCCCACCCTCCTTGCCTTAATGTGGGTAGTCTGGTTGCATGTGTGAAAATATTATTTTTATGGCTAGAGAAACTAGATGTAGTTTGTCTTTTACGCTCCAGCAAACAGCTAAGGAAGCCCCCACCCACCCTCAAGGTCAGGGACTAGGGCAATTGTTGTGACAGGCCATACCTGCAATGGTTGGCATTTGAACCCTTAGAAGACAAACTTTCCACCTTACCCACTGCCCTTGAACACTGATATATAGTTAGCTTCTCCAGTCCAAGGCTTGAAGTCAATGCATGTTTTTAGGCGATAGCGTTCAAATGCGTTAAGGATAACTCCCTTAGCATTCATTTCTGAAGGAAGAAAACCAACAAAAAATACACTTATTAACATTATCACCATTAAACAATTCACCATGGAAATGGGCTATGCATTACATTGTTTATCATGAGTTAGTCCCTTCCTGAATGTTTAGTGTTTTATTTTTACCAAATTTAGTATTCAGTCCCAATTAAGTATGTATCATATGCAAGTATTTGGTTCTTCTTCAGATCCTTGATTTTGCCCCATATTTGTTTCTTTGGAACCACTAGAGGTGCGTTACTGAACAACAACAAAAACCATACCTTTACCTCAGAACACAAACACCTTGGATCACAGGCAGCCAGAGTGAACCATCACTGTCACATGCTTCATCTGAGAAGCTACAGTATGTATTTAAAGCCTCACAGCAGAGCTTGTAATTTGAAGACCTTGAGATGGGAGTCCAGGAATATTCCGGAATGGTAGGTGCAGCATCCATATCTGTACTTCTATCATCTGTATCTATTCTGTATCTATATCATCTATATATCACCTATGTATTTATATCTCATCTGTAGCTGTCTATACCTATATCTGCAAAGTGCATTTCCTGGGGAAACTGTTCATAAGATTCTCAAGTGAGTTCAGGACCCAAATTAGAGTTAACCATTGTTTCAAAAAAAGCAGAGGCATGAAAGCAACAAAGACATTCAGGAAAAGAAGGTTGGAGGGCAACCCCGGAGGAAGGGGTTCCTGGGAAGGATGGTGGTTCCTGGGAAGTGGGAGACAGTGTGGCCAAGTGGAAAGCAGTTGGACTCTGAGCCAGAGACGCCTAAGTTCTTTCCCATCCTCATCACTTTTGATGCGTAACCTTTGCCAATTCAATTCACCTTCAGAGTTTTCTAAAATTATCAGCTAAGTGGGGAAATAAAATCAACTTTGCAGGCACAAAGTTAAGCATCAGACTCAGCCAGTTAGGTGTTGGACTGTTGGTTTCAGCTCAGGTCATGATCTTAAGGTTAGTGAATTCAAGCCCCACATTGGGCTCTGTGATGGCAGCTGGCAGTGTGGAGCCTGCTTGGGATTTTCTCTCTCTCTCTCTCTCTCTCTGCCCCGCCCCGACTCACGCTGTCTCTGTCTCTCTCAAAATAAATAAATAAACTTAAAAATAAAATAAAATAAGGGGTGTCGGTTAAGCGTCTGACTTCATATCAGGTCGTGACCTTGCGGTTCATGAGTTCGAGCCCCACGTCGGGCTCTGTGCTGACAGCTCAGAGCCTGGAGCCTGTTTCAGATTCTGTGTCTCCCTCTTTCTCTGACCCTCCCCTGTTCATGCTCTCTCTCTCTCTCTGTCTCAAAAATAAAAAATAAAATAAAATAAACATTAAAAAAAATTTTTTAATAAAATAAAATCAACTTTTCAGGAGATAATGTGAGGATAGGAGAAAGCAGAGGGGCAGTTCCAAGTAAAATGAGCATTTATCGAATGTTCATTTCCTTCCTCCCTTCTTACATGACCATTGCACTTTTGAAAACAACTAGTAGGAAGGTCCTCTGTTTCGGTGAGGATCAAGAACAGGACTCACATAGGGGGCCCTAAAATCCATATGAATTTATATGAGGCACCCAGAATTCCACCTTTTATAATACCACACAAATAAAACATGTTCATTGCAAGTAAGTTAGAAAATGCAGATAAACAAAAAGAAGGAAATTATAAAAGCTTATCACTTCAGAAATAATCAGCCACTCTCATCAAGCTTCTTGCTTGTATGTTATATACTCACAATATACACATATTTTTTAGAAAATACAAATCAGTCTACATATTTTATAAACTATGTGTTTCACTAAATAGTATATCATTAAAAGCTTTATCAAGTGTTCTTTTTATCATTTTAATGGCTACCTTATACGGCTGTAACATATACAAGTAACTTCCTATTGTCAGATATTTAAAGTGTTTCTGGATTTTCTGTACTATAAATATCATGTTTGCATTCTTATCTCAAATCTAACACTTCCTTACAATAAGACATGATGATACCCACCACCACAAGCCTGTTTTAAGGACAGACTGTAAAAGGAGCATGCAGGTCTAGGCCTTTTATCAAAGTTTAATGAGGATAGCTTTTTTTTTTTAATTTTTTTTTTTATCTTTGAGAGACAGAGAGTGACAGAGCGGAGTCAGGAAGGGGCAGAGAGAGGCAGACACAGAATCCGAAGCAGGCTCCAGGCTCTGAGCTGTCAGCACAGAGACCAACGCAGGGCTCAAACTCACAGACCATTAGATCATGACCTGAGCCGAAGTCGGATGCTTAACCGACTGAGCCACCCAGGCGCCCCACAAGGATAGTTTTTACCCTTCATTGAATTGAGAGTCAAATAAGGAAACATATGTGAAAGTTTTGTGAAAGGGATATAGCCCTCTACCAAGATAAGCTCTTCATTTACTGTGTGCCTTCATTACCAAAGGCTAATTATCTTTGACTCATAGATGCAGGAGCCCCCCACCCCCACCCCCACCCCGGGATCATGTTATTTAAATCCCCAGGCTCTGAAGGCTAAAGCAGGTCCTAGATAAGCCTTGGAATTAAGCAAGCAGCTGCTCAGGATTATTTTTCTCTTTAGCCCTTTCAGGTTCCTAGCACCTTGATTTTCACTTCCATCCCCCCTCCTTTTACCCTGTCTGCTCTCTACCTGCCCCACACACGTCAAGTCTGACACCCAGGCAAGGAATGATCACTTATTCACAGGAAGCTATCCATGGCTGCCTCAAGAGTCACCCCTTCCAGAAAAGCTGCATCTAACAGCCAGGAAACACCCGGAATGTAAGCAAAAAGACTAAAGCAGAATTGAATATGTTGGTTAAGAGCGATTTCTGGAGAGCCCGAAGTCACTTCCAGTAAACCCTTCATAGGTATTTACTAACCCTTCATAGGTATTTACTTTTGCTACCTGTAAGGGTGGCTTTGCTTAGTGATTTCCTCAGTCAGAGTCATTTCGAGATGGTATAAATTTCAGAAATATGAGGACATCCTCTTCTCACTTTAAGCATAGAGAGTAAGTTCAATGCTACAATATTAAACAGGGGTAAAGTATTTTCCAAATGAGAAAGAATCAAAATAATGGAATTTTAAAAATGACCTAAAAATTTGGGGTTTAATCATGTTATAAAACTAGCACAAAATAATGCTGTAATATCAATTGAAAAAAGCAGATTAAAAAATTTAAAACGGGGGCTCCTGGCTGGTTCAGTCGGTGGAGCATGTGACTTGATCTCTGGGTCATGAGTTCACGCCCCAAGTTGGGCATAGAGTTTACTCTTAAATAAATAAATAAATAAATAAATAAATAGAATAAAAAATGAAGCAAAACAACTTAACAATTTTTTAAGTTTATTTATTTTGAGAGAGAAGTTGGAGGGGCAGAAAAAGAGCGAGAGAGAGAGAATCCCATTCTGCATAGTCAGTGCGGAGCCTGATACAGGGCTCAAACCCACACACCATGAGACCGTGGCCTGAGCTGAAGTCAGATGCTTAACTGAGTCACCCAGTGCCTCTAAAAAAATTTTAAAACACTATAGTTATACCCATATAAAAATGTACACAGGGGGTGCCTGGGTGGCGCAGTTGGTTAAGCGTCCGACTTCAGCCAGGTCACGATCTCGCGGTCCGTGAGTTCGAGCCCCGCGTCGGGCTCTGGGCTGATGGCTCAGAGCCTGGAGCCTGTTTCCGATTCTGTGTCTCCCTCTCTCTCTGCCCCTCCCCCGTTCATGCTCTGTCTCTCTCTGTCCCAAAATAAATAAACGTTGAAAAAAAAATTTTTTTTTAAATGTACACAGTTTGGATAGTAAGATGTGGACTGAATTTTTTACCTGACATGTTTGATTTGTATATGTTTATCAATTTATTTTTATATATATATATATATTTTTTTTTTTAGTAAACTCTATGCCCACCGTGGGACTCAAACTCACATCCTTCAGATCAAGAGTCACATGCTCAAAGAAGCTGGGTGGCTCAGTTGGTTAAGCGACTGACTTCAGCCTAGATCATGATCTCACCATTCCCGAGTTTGAGCCCTGCATCAGGCTCTGTGCTGACAGCCCAGAGCCTGAAGCCTGTTTCAGATTCTGTGTCTCCCTCCCTCTCTCTCTGCCCTTCTCCTACTCACACTCTGTCTCTCTCAAAAATAAATAAACATTAAAAAAAAAAAAGAGTCACATGTTCTACCAACTGAGCTAGCCAGTCACCCCAGTTTATCAATTTAGTTTTAAAAATATGTATTAACTGCCTATAAAATGTCAGAGACTATGCTAATCCTCAGATTTGCAAGATGAAAAATAGCTCTGGGCCTCAAGGCATTCACTATGTTGTTTTATAATGTGTTAAAACAGGTACATAAAGCTCATAAAGTTACAATAGCTTTGGTTAAAATTCAGGGCAAAAGTAGCCAAGAGATACAATGAAATTTAAAGCTCACTGGTATTTCACAGAACACCTTAGGAGAACAATTTTTCTAATTTTTATAAATAATTTGAAAAGAAAAGAATTTTTATATTTTTAATCAAAATATTAAGACCAAAAAATATTATAAATAATTAAAGGCATTCAGATTTCCCCCCCATTCCTAAAGTCAGTGACTATCTTTCCCTTCCACATTATAGTTTCTAATCCCACCTCTGGCCTTGGCTTTTTCTACCTCCTCTTGGTTTTTCATCTATGTTTCTGGCCAGTCCTCCCTTCTCAGTCACTTCTAACAGATCCTCCGTCTATATCAATTCGAGAAAGTTGTTCTCCCAAGCTGGATTCCAATCTTGGCCATCTTCTCGCTCAATACAATCTTCTTGGGCCATTCAATACGCTCCATCTATCTAAAGAGTACGTGTTATATGCAGGGCTCATCGCACCAGTGCAAGGGGCTCATCACACCAGTGGCTTCAACCACCTCCCACAACCTAAGAACACCCAAATCTGTCTCTATCCTGAATGATTAGGCTGTACACCAATACTTCATATGATCTCTCCACCACAGTGGACCTGATACATTTCGAACTCTGCATGTCAATTTCCACCACACTTCTGTATCTCACCCTCTTTCAGACATATTCCCTGTTCTTGTTACAGGCACTACCATGCACTCAGTTGCCTAAGACTGAATCCTGGGCACCAGCATCTCTTTACCTCGATCCCTTTTCTTGCAGTCAATCACTAAATCTAACAATTGCCTCCTAAGGCTGTCTTAGAACTGTCCGTTCTTGTCTATCCTCGCTGAGAGAGACTTGGTTCAGAAACTCTCAATCCTTCCCTGAATTTCTTCTATAGATTCCTTATCTGATCTCTTTTCCTTGCCGGCCCCGCCCCCCCACTAATGATACATCTTCTCTACGGCAACTAGCTTGATCATAATCTCACACCCACATTAAAACTTCTGGAGGTTCCATGTCACCATCAGTATGCACACCAAGTTCTTTAATGTGGGAAACACTCAAGTCTTTCCAAACTAGATTCTGCCTACCTGTTCAACCTCACTAACTCCCCATTTCCAACCAAAATTCCAGTTAAGGGTTCACCCTTTCCCCATGCCCTTGCACATAGTGGTCCATCTGCCTGGAGCACCCTTCCCTTGCTGTCAGAAGCCATGCTGGCCCACATGACGCCTTTCTGCGGATTATTACAAAGGAGCACTTCGTCTGGGCAGATGCTGCAAGTCTTGACGTGGCAGGTAGTAAATAGCACTTCATGCAAAGAAACAAATGCCTCTTGATGAACGAAATGCAAACCTGATTTCAGTCCCACTTCCCCCTTCCCAGGCGCCTATGTACCATGTATAACTTGCATAAATGTCCTGGTAGCCCTGCTACGTAGTGTCACCTGCCCCCTGATGCCTTTACATCTAGGCTGAGTCACATGCCCCTGCAATGCGCTCCCACAGCTTTTCAACCTGTCATTAAGCAAAATATGTATCCCGTTCTATTGTAATTAACTTTTGGCCGATCTGATTCTCCACTGAAATGTATGAACTTTAAGAAAACTTTCCAGGGGCACCTCAGTGGCTCATTTGGCTAAGCATCTGACTCTTGATTTGGCTTAGGTCATGATCTCACAGTTGTGAGACTGAGCCCCACGTTGGGCTCTGAGCCGACAGCTCAGAGCCTGCTTGGGATTCTCTCTCCCTGCTCCTTCCTGCTTGTGTGCTCGCTCTCCCTCTCTCTCTCTTTCTCTCTCTCTCCCTCCCTCCCCAAATAAATAAATAAACTTAAAAAAAAGAAAAGAAAAGAAGAGTTTCCCAAACAACAGTTGCTAAAATGATTCTGGCAACTGAAACTGTAAATAAAATGAGGACCACATTTAGAGTTTTCCTTTGCAATTAAATTTCTTCTACACTGGCTTTTGTTTTGGATTGGATTCTTCTGACTTTTTAGTGTTAAAATATTATTTATGTTATGAAAAGATGATGATAAAGATAGTGGGTTCTTATTGCTGGGTAAGTTCCTCGCTTGGCAAAACAAAATTTTGGCAAACCAATGCCAGTCCCTAAGTTTTGTTTGGTTGTTTTATGTTTGTTTATTTTGGGTTTTTTTTTTTTTTTAATGTAATGTTTGTTCATTTTTGAGAGAGAGCCAGCGAGGGAGCGTTGTGGGCAAAGGGGCAGAGGATCCGAAGCGGGCTCTGCACCGACAGCAGCAAGCCTGATGCAAGGCTGTAACCTACAAACTGTAAGATCGTGACCTGAGCTGAAGTCGGACACTCAGCTGGCCGAGCCACCCAGGAGCCCCTGGTTGTTTTTGTTTTCAACTCATATGTAAAACCCTGACCATAGAGGAAACGGCAGCTTTCAGATAAAGACTACCTTCCTGATCTTTGTGTCTCCAGCAGCCAACACAAAGTAGGCTCTCCATAAATGTTGGTTGCGTTAATCCCTTTCTTGGTCAAAATTCAGCAAATATTTCAGACAAAATCACTGTGGTTCTTTTCATTGTTCATTTTGCTTATTTTTATAAGTAAATATTTGTCCATAGCCACATAAAGCAACAAATAAATCCTGAAAGCCCATAAGAGCCTACTCGTGAAAATACTGTGATTATATTCTGTCAGGAATATACATCAGTTATGGATTCTCCAAGGTATATACTAACCCAAGCTATCTTCTAGAACATATGGGATGGTATGAGGCCATCTGTATTTTTCTCCGATGATGGAATTTCTATCTTGTGCCTGTCAAAAATAAATGTGAAGGGTTAATTAAATGAATCAGGCAAAAACCTAGGGAACAATGAATAGTTAATCTAGAAATAAATGAAATTTAAAATGGAAGAAAATAAGTAGGTTTAAGCAGGATAAATTTAAAGGTAATGGAGGAAGGCTGCTAGTTCTGAGGGGCAAATACACTCGGTATGTTCTGAGTCTGTTTTGAGGCCAGTAGCCTAAAGAGTTAAGAGAGAAAAGAGACGCAGTAAGAAAGAAGGAGAGGAGATGGGAGAACAGTGGGCAGGAGCTAAATTATGCAAGGTCTTGAAGGCTGTGGGTAAGTTTGGCTATTGTTCTACATGCAGTAGGAAGCTGTTGAAGAGTTTCAAGCCTGGAAGTGAAATGATATCATTGCTGGTTTAAAAGACCACTTTGTGGGGCTCCTGGGTGGCTCAGTCGGTTAAGCATCTGACTCTCGGTTTCGGCTCAGGTCATGATCTCATGGTTCGTGAGATCAAACCCCACATTGTGCTCTGCATTGACAGTGCGAAGCCTGCTTGGGATCCTCTCTCTTTCTCTCTCTCTCTCTCTCTCTCTCTCCCTCTTTGCCCCTTCCCACTAGTGTTCTCACTCTCTCTCTCTCAAGATAAACAAACTTAAAAAATAAATAAATAAAAGACTACTTTGCTGGGAGGGGGGTGGGGACAGGGACAGGGAGAAAAAAATTATAGGGGAGCAATATTTGAAATAGAGAGACAAATTAAAGTGGGTTATTTGGGGCATGTGTTGCATTGGAAATGACAGAACTTACTGATGGATCTGATGGAGGGGTGAGAGAAAGAGCAGAAGCAAAGGTGACTCCCGGATTTTTTACTTATTCCGAGGAGTAGGGTGATGACTTTGCCAAGAGCGAAGGTCAAGGAGGAGCAGTTTGCATGAAACTGGTGTCCAGTTGAGAACGCCTTACATGTGAGACACCTCATAAATGCGGAAATGGAACTGACCAGTTGGCACTTGGATAGACAAGTCTGGAGTGCAGGAGAAGGAATGGATAAGAGTCACACCTTTGGAATCATCAGCATAGACATGACGTTTAAAGCCCTCGGACAAGGTGAGATCCAGAGGGAAAGAGTACAGATAGAAGAACAAGCCCAAGACTAAACCTGAGACACTGCAGCTCTGCTTCTTGAGTTGAAGTTCCCAGCAGAACTACCTGTAAGTAATCTATGCTCATCCATGTGCCATATACTCTTCATGCATAGATTTGGCAAGATCTTTACTTGGCAACACTATCTTTAGCTGTCAGGATAGAAGTCACAAAATCTATCTTTTACAGTAAAAATTCTGATTCATTGATATGTTTAAAAATTCAGTTTAATTTGGCCTCAACTAGATTAAATCAGGGAGGTTTTATTTAAAAATGAAAACATCAGGGCACCTGAGTGGCTCAGTTGGTTAAGCACCTGTCTCTTGGTTTTGGCTCAAGTCACGATTTCACAGTTCATGAGTTCGAGCCCTGTGCGGGGCTCTGTACTGACAGTGTGGAACCTGCTTGGGATTCTCTCTCTTCCTCTCCCTCTGCCCCTCCTCTGTTCCCTTGTGCTCTCTCTCAAAATAAATACATAAACTTAAATGAAAATAAAAATGAAAGCATCATATTGTCCCAATAATGAAAATTCATCGGACCAATAAGATCAAGGCATACATAGTGAGTGACGATGGCTTTAACCACACAGAAATCTGAGTAATGGATAATGAAGGCATTATTATGCAAGTCCCTCAGGGTATAATGTATTTATTGAATACATCTGTCTCTATGATACTGTATCTCTAGAGACAGTTGGGCTTAACAAAGCCCATGTTGTCCAATCATTCTCATATACTCTGTACTTTAATTCGCAGTAGTTAATAGAAGATTCTTCCTTGCTTTGTTTCAACTCACCTCATCAAGTCTGATGTCTCCCTCAAATAGATCCAGCCCCAATTCTAAGAGGGAAGATAAAAATTCATGTTAGCAAATTGGATTCAAACCCTCTACTTACTAAAATATGTAAAAAAGAAAAATCTACAAACCTTCATTGATATCAAATATATCTTGATCAATTCCACCATCTACATCTTTAACTAAAGGAAAGAGAAAAACACATTGAGCATTATGTTTTGAAAGACGACAATCTTTATCAATTACCAAATTAAAAGTAAGGAAAGTTCTTTGTATCAGGTAAGTGACTACTAGGTTCTGATTCAACATACATTGATTGATTGATTGATTGACTGGTTGACTGATTGAGAACCTCCCATGAGCTAGGCTTGGGGCTATGGGGCTTTTGCATATATGCTTTTGTCTTATCCATGTCCCTTGAACGTCAAATGACTTCAGGAATAAGAAATTGGTCACTCTGTATAATATTAAACTGAATTTGAAAGACTAGACTAGATGACTAGATTAAATGAGAAGCAAATGTTTAAATCTGGTCAAACCAGCCCAATCTACCCATTTGTATATATCCCTTTGCTAGTAACATATCTTGGAACTCTCAAGCAAAAGTCCTAATTTAAATTTGAATTACTCTTGTAAGTTGCAAAGGAGTAAATAATAGGGCCAAATCTCTAAGGGTACGACAGAATAGGATGGACATCGGGTCCACCTGATTTGATGCAAAATAGCAAAAGTAGTAACAGCAAGCATTTATGGGATGTCTCATGTGAGTCATTGTGTTTGGATTTTCCTATGTCACCATCTGTTTTTCTGCTGGGTATGTGGAACCCTGGAACAGGAACAATAAAACAGTTCTCAATAAATCAAAAGAAGTCAGTGTTTGACTAAAGTTCAATGCAATTATACAATTATGCATACATAATTACGCATTGTGCCTAGCATTAAATGTGTCCTAAGTTATTCTGTCCTGTTGTTCTATCATCCACATGACTTTCTTTTACTATAACTTAGAACAAAACTCAAAATAGACTCACCAAAGTTTTCTGGAGTTGGCTGAGAAACAAACACATAAAAAAAAAAAAAAAGGCATTATTATGACACCCATGACATAAAAGATCTTCTTGGTTCCAATTTATATCTAGTAATTTGTAGAGGGAGGGGAGTTCTTTAATATTAATATATTAATAATTTCTGGCTTATATCTAAGACAGCTAATTTGGAGTCTAAAATAATTTTTGGATGAAAGGGTCTTCTTATCTCATGTAAAAAATAAAATTGGCTGTTGTATGGATTTGAAGGTGAAAGAAACAAGGAACTAACTTCACAGATTGAAAAGAAGGCAGCATGTAAGACTCCAGCCCTCAGATAAATGTTCACTTTAAACATGATTCTCTGAAGGATTCATGGAGCAATGTTTGAAAAACCTAATAATTTATCCCCATTGTTGAAATATTATTGTAATTTATAACAACCCCTTATAAAGAAATTTTATTGAAGACCTCATCAATCATGGTTTACTTTCACGTTTTTCTCAAGACACTGCTTGAGAAATGTTAAGAAAAAAAAAATCAATGGGTATACTTTGCAATTAAAAAAAAAACCTTAAGGGGCATCTGGATGGCTTAGTCAGTCAAGTGTCCAACTCTTGATTTCAGCTCAGGTCATGATCTTATGGTTTGTGAATTCAAGCTCCACATGAGGCACTGCACTGACAGCGTGGAGCCTGCTTGGGACTCTCTCCGTCACTCTGTCCCTTCCCTGCTCAGGTGTGTGCACTCTCTCTCTCAAAAATATAATAAACGTTAAAAAAAACATACACACACTAAGGAGCACCTGGGTGGCTCAGTCGGTTAAGCGTCTGATTTTGGCTCAGGTCATGATCTCACAGTTTGTGGGTTCGAGCCCCTCATTGGGCTCTGGGCTGACAGCTCAGAGCCTGGAGCCTGCTTCAGATTCTGTGTCTCCTTCTCTCTCTGTCCCTCCCCCGCTCTTGCTCTGTCTCTCTCTCTCTCTCTCTCCCTCAAAAATAAACATAAAAAAAAAAAAAAACACTTCTGAAAATAGGTTCTCTACAAGTGACCAAATGAAAAACCTATACTATATGCCCAATGGAAAAAATGAAGTAAACCTGAGAAATTTCTTTTTTTTAATTTTTTTAAATGTTTATTGATTTCTGAGAGAGAAAGAGAGCACAAGCAGGGGAGGAGCAGAGAGAAAGAGGGAGACACAGACTCTGAATCAGGCTCCAGGCTTTGAGCTGTCAGCACAGAGGCTGACACAAGGCTCTAAGCCACGAACTGTGAAATCATGACCTGAGCTGAAGTCAGATGCTTAACTGACTGAGCCACCCAGGCACCCCTTAAACCTGAGAAATTTCTTAGGGAAGTCTAGAGTCTAGTGAGAAAGCTCATGGGACTGGCAGGCAGCAGGTCTGGGTTTTATGCCTGGTTCCACCAATTCACAGCAAGTCAGTTCACCTTCCAGAAACTCAGACTATCTATAAAATAGGTTAATACAGCTTACATATCTAAATACCAGAATCATATGGACTGTTTGGCAAGCAGTAGGAATGAACTGGTTGGATAGTTACTCCTCTTGATATTAAGAAGTGCCTGTTTGTCTCACACATTAGCCACACGTAGGCACACTCAGAGAGGAATGCTAATGTGCCTAATGATAAAAGTCATCAAGAGGTGCCTGGGTGGCTCAGTCAGTTAAGGGTCTGACTTCGGCTCAGGTCATGATCTCATGGTTTGTGAGTTCGAGCCCTGCATCGGGCTCTGTGCTAACAGCTCTGCTTCAGATTCTGTGTCTCCCTCTCCCTCTGCCCCTCCCCTGCTCATGTTCTCTCTCTTAAAAATAAATAAACATTAAAAAATTTTTTTTAATTATCAAGCATTTGTTCATAACTACAGTTATAATGTGTCTTAAATGGCATCTCTTGTTCTCAATGTTGTAGGTCCTGTTCATAGAATATCAGCTCAATATAATAGCTTATTTTAAAATCTCAACTAAAATTCCCCCTAGGCATTTTGGTTTTTAACCCCCTAGGTTTAAAACTTTGGGTTGGTCTACGGTACAAACTACCTGTCACTGTAGAAAGATTGGTCTAACCTGACAAAGAGGCAGACGAGAAACCCCATGCTACAAAACCGTAAGCTCTGGCTTTGCCTGTGACATCCACCATTCATGTCTTACGGCACCGCAATAGTAATATGCATTTCACTCGGCAGTAAAAAATGGAATGATTTTCAAACTGCACATTTTCCACCTTATCAGGAGAAAACTTGTTACACCAAAATGAAACTGAAAGAAATATATAACTTTATGTCCATGTCCCTGACTCTGTCTCTGGCGGGGCTGCTTCTCACCCCGTGACCCTGCCTGCCCCAGCTCGCCCCGCTCATTTCATTCACATCTTGAAATTCCTAAAAAGCAAAAACATGAACACACAAGCAATAGGCCCCCAATTTTTCTCATTGTTTTCCAAACACAGTTTCCTTACCAAGCCAGGAACCAGGAAGAGAATGGCAAAGAACAGAAACCAAGGCAGATACCATGAATCCATGTTGTGGCTTCCAGTTGAAATGTGCAAACTAAGAAAGTCAGAGTAGCATTTACTTCTTAAAAGGCAAACATCATAATTTGTAGCCTTTGATCTCAAAGATCCATCTTGCAGGTCAGCTCGCTGTAGTAGTATCATCTGCAGTCAGAGAGTTAAAGTCCAGTATCCTGAACACAGCTCTGCAGCCTTGTTTGTTGGCTTTTTTTTTCCCCCTGAGTCAACATTCAGTAGTTAAGTGCCTGGCTGAGACCTGTTAATGAAATAAGTTCCCTAATTTATACATATTTGTCCTCAGAATTATTGACGACCACTTGAGCAAAAGAAAATATCACATTAATTTTTATTTATTTTTTATTTATTTATTTTTATGTTTTCCTTTTGTGAATTCCTGAAATTAACTTTTAATCTTTCAAATAGTAACGTTTGTGAAGCTCCTTCTGCTCATCTAACCCTGTGCTGCTTTCATATATCCAGTTATGTCCGTGGCTTTTTTAATCACTCATTCATGTATTAGAAAATTTATTGAGTTTCAAAATCCATTTATGTGTTAGAAATCTGGCATATTTTGATCATTATATATAAAGTAGCAAAATAGCAACATACCTCACTCGTGAAAATTCCCATCAAGCAAACCTAAGGGGGAGGGTCCAAAGCTAGGAATGGTCACGGGTTTTCTGATAAACTGGTGTTCCAATCCATCTCTCAGTTCTTTCCCTTTTTCCTTGTTTTCTTGGGATAACTTTTCTTTAGAGACAACCTACTCTCTGTGTTCCCATGGTTCCACTCTCAACTGTGATGCGATATAATATTTTTGCAACACCACTTTTTCCCTCAGCAATTCCCTCCCCACTCAGGATTGGTCCTTGCCCCACTCTGCGCTCATAGGAAGGATGTCAAAAGATGCATGGTAGAGACAAAGGACTTGGGAGGATGCTCTTTGTGAGTTTGAGCCAGTCATTCCCAACCTCTGAGAGGGTAAGTGTTCAAAGGGAAAGTTACAAACCCCACTCCTCACTTGTTCCCAGGGATCCTGCGGGTGGTTTCTGGGATCCCCAATAAAATGGGCCTGTTTCCTGGCTAGAGCTACAAGGAGACAAAAACACTCTGCAAAAGAAAGCATGTCTTGGAAGGAAGGAGAATAACTCCTAAGAGACCAGAGTGGCACACAAGTATCAGGGAAAGCCCCACACCTGCGGGGCCATGTGGCTAGGAATCCGAGTGTCTCCATAGAGGGCTGCATAGAAGGACAACCAACGACCAGACGAGAGACAGATGTTTCAGAGCGTGCCCGAGGGGGGATGCCACCGGGATGAGATGGGGCCTTGGGCTGTCAAGCTTAGGCATGAGCCTCAGAGTAAAAGATGGGAATCCTTAATCGGCAACAGTTAAATTTCTCCCATTTATGTGGATGGGGACTCAAAACAATAATTACAGTTACCGAAAAATAGAAGTATTTATTATGCATATCTGCTTTTGTGAGCCACGTGCAACTGAGACCCCTGACTGCAAGCCATGCGTTAGGGCAGACGGCTCACATTCCAAGTTAGGAAGTTGCAATCAGGGAGGTAGGAAGCAACAGTTCCGAGGACGGTTGTAGTCTGCTGTGGACCCTACCTAACACAGCACATGGACAGCCCCTCTAGGAATCTCATGGACAGTCATGGGGGCGTGGCTGAAATCCAACTCCAGAAATGTGTTTTGACTGCAATTAATGGATAGATTTTACATTTCATTCTTCCTGGGATGGTCACTGAGGCTCTAATGCAGAGGCTACCCTTGGCTGGTCTAACATAGCTCCAGCCCCGCTCATTTGTCTCCTGGAGAGCGTGTCTGCCTCTGGCTGCTGGTCCTCCTCTGGTCTTCATTTCTCCCGGGGACTATCGCGAACCGTGCTCAAGATTCCAGCCATATGGATTGTTCTGAGAGCTCCTGGAACTATCAGGAAAGCGCATTTCTCTCAGGAATGTGATTCTCAAAACCCCCCATGGAATACGAGAATATTCTAGACCTAAGGATGGCAGATCTCAAGAATGAAAAGCTTTCTAATAGGAAATAGTACAGAGGTTGCAACACAAGATCCATATCTTTCCTCTTAGAACGCCCACTTCCTTCACCCAGTTCTTCTTCCAAAAACAACAACAAAAAGTTTTTGTAAGTTATGTCATGTGTTCCCCAATGGTGGCTCTTTATGAAATCTTATCAGCACTTCTATAAACTTATTAGGGAGGTGCATGTAATTGAATTTAAATTAAATTAAATGGAACTAGGAAAAAAGGAAGAAAATGGAGGTGTGGTGACTAAAGAAGTCCCCGGGCAGCAAGGAGAATACAAATTCATTATGGCCCCAGCCAATTAAAGGGCAAAAGAGCTCATAAGACATCTGCACCCCCTGCGATTGAGCACAATAAATCACATTCTTCTAAGCCCCTCCCCAAACTCCCATCTTTTACTCGATTTTTCAAAATTGTGCTATATTACTGTATTAGTCAAGGTTCCCCAGAGAAGCAGAACCAAGAGGATCTGTATATAGATAGAGAAATTTACTTAAGGAATTGGCTCACAGAACTGTGGAAGCTGGCAAATCCAAAGTCTGCAGGGTGGGCTGGTAGACTGGAGACCCAGAGAAAAAGCAATGTTGCAGCTTGAGTCCAAAAGCAGTCTGCTAGCAGAATTCTCTCTTCTTCTGGCAATCTTGGTCTTTTGTCTCTTAAGGCCTTCCACTGATTAGATGAGGCCCACCCACACAAAGAAAGGAAATTGGCTTTGCTCAAAGTCTACTGATTTAAATGTTAGTATCATCTGGAAAGTATCTTCACAGTGACGTTTAGACTAGTATTTGACCAGATATCTGGATTCCATGGACTAGCCAAGTTGTCACATAAAATGAACCATCAGTTCTCTTTTTTGTTCTCTTCTTTTATTTGCCAGACCCTTCACAGTCTCCTGTTTATGGGCTAGCTATTGGTTACACTAAAGGTGGCTATTACGGCCAACTCGACACAATTGGCTGGACTGCCAGCCACACCCCTGGCTGAAGACAAAGATGCTATCTATCATGTTCCATGGTGAACATCAATGACAACATGGTCACATCTGTAACTCTAGGAAAATACCGAGGGACCGAGAGTTGCTCTTCAGATTTCAAAGCCAGTTGGCTGAGGCGGTGAGGAACGATTCTATTCTTACACCTTATGATCCTACTTCAAATTCCTGGACTGTTTTGTTTTGCTTTGTTTTGTTTTGTAAGTAACTCTTATGCCCAACATGGGGCTTGAACTCATAGCACTGAGATCAAGAGTTACATGCTCTACTGACTGAGCCAGCCAGGCACCCCTCTGGACTGGCTTTACACAGGGAGCTTTTTGATGCTGGGAGCTAGCCCACAAAGAAACAGTGGGGGCGAGAATTGCAGCAGGATGATGAGATAGCAGCTTCCTCCCACCATCACGAGAGGATCACCAGGTGGCCCGAAAAGTTTGGCAACCCTACTGTAGCTCAGCAGGCGTGGTGCCAGTAAAAATTCACCCCAAACCAGAACAGGTCTAAAATGGGTGTCCATTGGGGTGCCTGGGTGGTTCAGTTGGTTGAGCGTCTGACTTCGGCTCAGGTCGTGATCTCACGGTTCGGTTCCACGCTCACAGCTCAGAGCCTGGAGCCTGCTTCAGATTCTGTGTCTCCCTCTCTCTTTGCCCCTCCCCTGCTCATGCTCTGTCTCTCTCTCTGTGTCTCTGTCTCTCAAAATTAAATAAACATTAAAAGAAATTTAATGGACGTTAAGCATTTGCTGCAGGTGGGAGCAGATTTGCTGGACAGAAGCAAAAAAAAAAAAAATTGAGAGAAAGATAGTCTTCTTTCTTCCTTCTTTTTTGGGGCTCCAGCTTTTAACCCGCAGTAACATTCAGCCTAGGCTGCTTTAACCACAAAAATGACTGAGAAAGGAAAGATGGAATGTTCGATTGATCTCACCACAGTCTCCCATGAATGGGAAACGTCTCAGGCATTCTGCTGGAAGCGTTTGCCTCCTGTCCCCTCCTGTCACATGTGCCTTACTCCACAGCAGTCCTCAAATTTTTTGCCTTGAAACCCCTTTTCATTTGTGAAAAGTGACTGAGAACTCACAAAGAAATTTTATTATTTTATCTGTCAATATTGACCTTCTTAGAAATTCACACTGAAAAATTTTTGAAATATTATTAATTGATTAAAAGTAATTTTAAATAAATTTTAAACCTATTATATGTTAATATAAATAATATATTTTAAGGGCGCCTGGGTGGCTCTGTCGGTTGAGCATCCAACTCTTGATTTCAGCTCAGGTCATGATCTCACAGTTCGTGAGATCGGGCTCTGCGCTGACAGGGTGGAGCCTGCTTGGGATTCTCTCTCTCTCCCTCTCTCTCTGCCCCTCCCCCACTCTCTCGCGCATGCTCTCTCTCTCTGTCAAAAATAAACTTTAAAATATATATTTTAATGAAAAGTGAGCACATATTCAAAAAATAATGGGAAGAGTGGCACTGCTTTACATCTTGGCAAATCTCTTAATGTCTGGCTTACTAGAAGACAGTTGAATTCTCAGATCTGCCGTGATACGTTGTCACAATTCAAGCATATGAAGATAATTCAGCCTCAGACAGAAATGTAGTTGAAAAGAGGAGCAGGGGCGCCTGGTGGCCCAGTAGGTTGAGTGTCCGACTTCGGCTCAGGTCATGATCTCACAGTCCCTGAGTTTGAGCCCCGCGTCGGGCTCTGTGCTGACAGCTCTGAGCCTGGAGCCTGCTTCGGATTCTGTGTCTCCCCCTCTCTCTGTCCCTCCCCCACTTGTATTCTGTGTCTCTCTCTCAAAATAAACGTTAAAAGAAACAAATCCTCTCATGGCTACCAAAAAAGGAAAAAAAAGAAAGAAAGAAGAAAGAAAAGAGGAGGAGTAATTTAACAGCCTTTTTAGATGATTGTGGCTGTTCTTCTTAAATACTACACCCAAATTTCACATGCCACAGTTTCTTCAATCACAACGATGAACTTTTCATACTTTGTTATATTAAAATCCATTGGTCTAATCTTGCATTTCAAATGGATGCTTTCCCTATGCATAATTTGTGTTTTTTTAAATTTTTTTTACATGTTTATTATTTTTGAGAGAGACAGAGCGTGAGTGGGGGAGGGACAGAGAGAGGGAGTCACAGAATCCGAAGCAGGCTCCAGGCTCCGAGCTGCCAGCACATAGCCCGACACGGGGTTCGAACTCACAGACCGCGAGATCATGACTTGAGCCGAAGTCGGCCGCTCAACGACTGAGCCACCCAGGCGCCCTCCCTATGCATGATTTGTAACACCACTTGTCCTTCAGAAAATCTGGATCTTCCCAATGTTGACTCATTTCGTATCCCTTATCAGATAAATCTCTTGGTCGACACCACCAGTCTCATCCGAAAAGCTGATAAAGATTTCGGAAACCATTAAATTCGCAGGGACGAATTTCTGGACACAGGTGTTCCAAAAATTCTTTCTCTTGAAAGCTCAAGTTTTAGCATTGGTAATAAATACCGTCAGTTGGTTTCCTGGATAGGTTAAGCCCACTCCATTCGTTTTCAAGAACATTTCTGCGAAATACCTAATAATCACAGTCTGCCTACTGCTTGTTCTATAAGCAAATGCGGTGTTCTATGAGAAAAGCAGCTGGAGCAGCTCACGTCTCAAGCAATCACACAAATGCTTTGCCCAAAACAAAGATCATATTTTGGCATGCAGCACAAGTGCTCTGTGTGTACTTCCCATTTTATGACACAGAATATTAAAAGGATGTGCACTCAAGGGCCTAGATTTAATAAAATTAATTTTTATAGCTTCATCAGGACATTTTCAAGTGAGACTGTGGTTGTTTTTACTGCAAGGGCGTGGTGCTGAAGAATTCAACAGCTACTAGGGACGCCTGGGTGGTTCAGTCAGTTAAGCATCTGACTCCTGGTCTCAGCTCAGGTCTTGATCTCAGGGTGTTGGATTCAAGCCCTCTGTTGCACTCTGTGCTCGGCATGGAGCCTGCTTAAAAGACCAAAAAAATACAATGGCTACTACTGCCACTGCTTTTGCATCAAGGTGCAATTGTCAACACATTAAAAAGACAACAACAATAAAAAACAACAACAACAACCCGGGGGTCTGGGTAGCTCAGTGGGTTGAGAATCCAACTTTGGTTTCAGTTCTGGTCATAATCTCACAGTTCATGAGTTTGAGCCCCATATCGGGCTCTGTGCTGGCAACAAAGAGCCTGCTTGGGATTCTCTGTCTCCTCTCTCTCTGCCCCTCCCCCGCTTGTGAGCCTGCATTCTCTGGCTCTCTCTCTCAAAAATAAATAAACTTAAGTTTTTAAAAAAGGCCAAAATGTCAGTATTATTATGAAGATAGTTTTGGCTTGTGGATCCCTACAAGGGTCTCTGGGACATTTCAAGAGTCTGTGGACCACACTTGGAGAACTATTGCTTTATAATGACAGGAAGGTAGAACAAGACTCAGAAAGACAAGGGTTTGGGCCCTTAGATAAGAGGTTCATCAATTTAAGGGCAGCTGGCTGGCTCAGTCACAAGAGCATGCGACTCTTGATCTTGGGGTAATGAGTTTGAGCCCCACATTGGGTTTAGAGATTACTAAAAAAATAGATAAACTTAAAAAAAATAGAAGAAGTTCATCAATTTAATAGCTATCTGAGCATGAGAAAGTTAAACTCTCTGGGTCTGTACACACACACACACACACACACACACACACATATACACACAATGGAATATTACTCAGCCATCAAAAAGAATGAAATCTGGCCATTTGCCATGATGTTGTTGGAGCTAAAATGTATTATGCTAAGCAAAATAAGTCAATCGGAGAAAGACAAATACCATATAATTTCATTCATATATGGACCTTAAGAAACAAAACAGATACACATATGGGAAGTGTGTTCAGGGGGGATGGAGAGAAGAGAGAGAAACAAACCACAAAAAACTCTTAATGATAGAGAACTATGGGTTGATAGAGGGAGGGGGGTGGGAGATGGGTTAGAAGGGTGATGGGTACTAAGGAGGACACTTGTGATGAGCTCTAGGTGTTGTATATAAGTGATGAATCTCTGAATTTTACTCCTGAAACCAATGTTGCACCATATGTTAACTAAGATTTGAATTAAGAAAATAAATCTGTTCCTGAAAAAAGAGTATGTTCAGCATATTAAAAATTATGTATATAAAGTTAGTGCCTAGAATATAGACAACACTAGAATATGGACCAGAGATGTGTATGTAGGGGAGTTCATGAACAAGTGAAATTATTGGAGAAAACCAAAGTATATTTTAATTAACATATTTATTCCAAAATATTTCTAGAAAGCCACAACCAGGCCCTGTGCTATGTGGAGATATAGAAACAAGTGGCATGATCCCTGCTCTTGAAAAGTTTATAGGGGTGTTTAAATCAACTCGGCATTAAAGTCATCTGGAAAGACTCAACCTGATCATTGTTACAAAGAAAGGTAGGTACCAAGGACCAAGGTCCAACAGTGAAGTACTTGCTCGTAGTCTATACATGGATTTAGGAAGCCAACTGAAAAGGGAAGATGGACCCTTGGGCCAGTCCAGGGGAGAAGGTGACAGCCTGGTTTTTGGCAAGTTTACTGGTCACCAAGGTACCTGATAAGCTAACAGGAAGGTGGGGAACCCCATCATTCTGAACTAAAGACTATGCCCTTGGATGGGGAAGACCGTCATAGCTCTGGATTTTCAGATCCCTGCCATAATGGTGAGAAGCAGCAGCATCTGATTCCTCACACATCCATCATGGAATCTTTGGATATAGATAAATAATGCTCAGCCGCTCTGTGA